TGGACAGGCGTGTATCTTGTCATAGCTCATGCCAATAGAGTACAACATCTTTTTGGCCTCATACGTTCGATTGGGGATAACATTATCCTCTGGTAGCATATCTTTCATAAGGGCTAATAACTCTGTGAAACTTTTATCCGACCATCCATTGCCCGCCTTTAAGTTGTACAACTTTAATACCGCAGACAATGTTGTGAATTTTGTACAACCATTATACAACGGTTTCTCTGCATCGCTTACCAACCTCTCGAACATTTTGGGACAATCATTAAGATCTTCTTCAAGCGCTTCTGCAATCTCTTCAACTCGATCATAATCGTATGTATCTGTGCCATTGTCGTTTGAAGCATAGGTCCTATTATCCCCCGATTCATCATTCCCATCACTTTTCTCACCATGTATATTCCAACATGTATAACTTCTATCAATTCCATACCGTATTAGATGCGATGCCAACTGAACCGCGTCAACCCGATTCCCATAACAGCAACACAAACAAGGACATGTCATTCAACCGGGGTCTTCGGCGTGCGCAACAGCAAACTTAACGAATTCTGATACCCCGTTCTCGTACTCTTTCGACAATCGATTGGAATACATCCATGTCTTATCCATGGTTTACGGTTTCTGAGTCAATCTGAGCTAAACAAAAACTTAACTTAATCAATTTGTCGAACACTTGGTGTGAAATCAATTTTAATCAGATTTTTCTTTGGTTTTGTTGATATGAAAAATCAATTGCAATTTTATAGATTACAATCAACTCAACAAAAAATTGTTTAAAATATTATTGATAAGAAAATTATCTCAATATGTTGATTGCACAATCAATGAATTCACAATTTACAATAAAAATGAGTGAAAGAGAAGGAGAGATAAATTTGTTTAAGGAGTTCTCCTATCGATCTAAGGGCACACCTTCCCTTAATTTCAATGAAATTGAGATAATAACTTAAATGAAATTTCTACGACGATTTTTGCGGCCGTAAGAGCCAACCGTCGTCAATTTTTTGGTTATGTAAAGGCAAAATATATAGAATCCCTTTGGTGGAAGGTACAACTCACATTTCATGTCTTACGGCGGTCATAAGAACCGACCTCGCTCAAATTCCACGACCGTTATCCACCAGCCACCATGTTCCTATATACCCATTTTCCAATTTACGCGGCTATGTTTTCCAAATTCTATCGCGTTTTCATTTTCTTTCAGAATCGTAAACCCTTGTACTTTTTCCATCCGAACTGAACCGTATTCCATTTTCCTAACCTAAAATTGCAAAAATTTCTTGATCTATCTAATAATATCAAATCTGCAGAATCATTTTTCTCTCACATCTCATGTACAAAGAAATTCAGTGAAGGTAAAAAGATGTAACTTTATTATAATAATTCATTGACAAGGTAAAAAGATTTTATACAATATTTTGTATACATTGAAAAGAAGAAACAATCACCTGACGGTTCTCTTGTTTTCTGACGATTTGACACGTTTGAGTTCTCCGGTGAGATATGTTGCTCTGAATCGGAAGGTCCTGAAGAAGTTAAAGAAACCGATTAATTTCCAAAACACATTAAACAAACATCAAAAGACAGAGAGCCTTAATCGGGAATCACAATTACCTGCCATCCAACTAGTGTGAATGAGAAACACTAATTGTGCCTGCTAATCAATGAAACAAGAATTTTGTATGTCACTATGGCTTCCAAGAATATATTCCGTGCCCGATTATTCAATAAACGCTCAATAACTTTTAAAACATAATCACCTAACTGGAACCAAAAATTCAAGCTCTTATCCAATTCAAGTTCATGATATGAAAAATCAAGCTCAAAGTAAGCTAAAATCAACCGAACCAAATTCCGGGAAACAACTATGTAATCCTAATAATGCTCAATAAAACTCATCTCAAACAAGTGTTCCATGTGCACACGATAAACAACAATACCATAACCGAGTTCGTCATTCAAAACCAAATCACACAATGTCATCACAAATTCAAAGCCAACATGTTTTAAAACAAAATTAGGAACAATCAAAATCAACACAAAGTTTAATTCATTCAACATTAACTCAAAATGAAATAACATATTAATAACATCATTAGAAAATCATCAAAGGGTTTTAGGAAACTTTCAAAAATCATCAAACAACAACAATAACCAATACACTGTAAATGAGAAGAAAATAATAATCAACGAACCTTGTGAAGAGAGGGACGACTCGTGGGCGGCGATGAGAGTTGACGATGGTGGCTACCGTGAAAAATCGCTTTGGACGAAGAAGATGAACAGGAACAGGAACGAAAGGGTTTGGAAGAGAGGAAACACAAAAGCCAGTACGAACACACAACACAGCTTTAATCAAAAACATTAAAATTTATTATAAAACAACCTACGAAAGCGCTTTTAAAAGCGCTTTCTAATGGTCATGTATAACAGCGCTTTTTCATAAAAAAGCGCTTTCGTAGCATACCCTATAGCAGCGCTTTTAAAAGCGCTTTCTAAAGGCCAGATTTAGCAGCGCTTTTGAAAAGCGCTCTCTAAGGCTGCCCTTTAGCAGCGCTTTTGAAAAGCGCTTTCTTAGGTTCCCTCTGAAAGGCACCCTTTAGTAGCGCTTCTCAAAAAGCGCTTTCTAAGGGTGACCTTTAGCAGCGCTTTTGAAAAGCGCTTTCTTAAGGTACCCTTTGAAAGCGCTTTTTTTAAGCGAATTTTTTTTAATACCTATAGCAGCACTTTTTCCTAAAAGCGCTTTCGTATGTGTGATGCTAAAGCTTATTTTTGGCGTAGTGTCTCTAACTTTAAATAAAACATGACCCACCCTGAAATCATAGGAAAAAAATTGATATAAATTTATGTGTGCAACAACCAATAAGACATACAACAGTTGCTAACATCAATCTCCAAACAAATGACAACTGCAGACATAATCCGATCACACTTGAGATATACTCTAAAAACATAAATCAACTCTGACTTCAAAGCCAACGTATTTATGTACTAATGCACAGTATAATATATAGATACTCTAGAAATATTATATATAACTAAATGATTATCATCTAGAAATATTTTTCTTTTTTATGTATAAAACACTCTACCTAACAAAGAACCTAGAACTTCACCCATTGAAAGTATTACATTTCCACCTTCTAAAGCTTCACTTACTCTCATTCTTTTGACAAATCTTAAGGGGGGGGGGGGTTAATATAGCTTTCAGGAATCTCCATTTCTGATAAAGTTTGATCATGTATAGCCATGGATGCTTTACACCAGTAGTCCAACATATGTCATATTGATGTTTTAAATAAACCAACTATTCTATGTAGAGATGACAGATAAAACATTTTTAGTACATACATCAATAGACAAAATATGTTGATATAAGATATTGCAGACAATGCAACAAATAATAATAAGCAAGTGTATTCATGGAAATTCCAATATGATTGACATCAATATCAAAAGCAATCCATTAATGGACATAATGAAGTTTGTTGCAAAACACGAAGATAGGTCTAAAGTTACAAAACCAAAACTTACTAAAATAGTTCATGTTCATAGTATTACTAAATAACTAAGTAAATTTGATTAAAAAAATCTAGTAGGATGAGTAAGATTATTTTTTCTTTTTGATGTCTTTCATTAACTTTGTGGAGGACAACTGAACATTCTCCAGATCTTCTATTGTATCAGTTAAAGATTATTTTGATGGAGTCAGGCCTGGATTCTCACGAGCAGGATCAAAATCTGTAGATGCAAACAAAGGTTTCTACATTAAGAGTTATAAGAAATGGATGTTAGAGTATGTAACAATAATAATAATAATGTGAACTTAATGTGTATTGGAAATGAAAATATGAAAACAAATGGTACAACAATTATTTAGCGCAATATACTTCTAATAGATAGAGAAATAGACTTACAATATAACTTGTAAGTTCCTCCTATGACGAAGGCTCGAATATTTGAAGTTTTGATGTATGCTAAAAAGAAAATAAAATAATAACCCACTATTAGGATTGGTTTGAATTCCAAATTGATGACTGATATTCTCAAGCTAAGAATTCAACAAAGATTATCTCTTCACATTAGAAATTATCCCTTATTCTCTTACGCGATTCTTCGTTGTTTATGAAGCCAATAACTGACAATCTTTCATACTTTGGTTGAAAGACAGCTCTAATTGCCAACTTTTTTTTCAATATTTGTTCAAGTGCATAAGGAAATTCTATAGGGTTATCTTCACCATCTTTAATGCATACAATGCTTTATTAACAATTCAGATATAAATAATACATGTTGAACAAAGAGAATAAAGTACCTCTGACAACTTTCTTTTCATCTTAACAAAAAAATTTCCAATCAGCTTCACACAATCATTGTCCTAAAAGACAAATCTTGCCTTGAATTTGCCATCCACAACCAAAACTTCAATTTTGTATCTATAATACATTTGATTTATGAAAACAGTCTTCATACCTGACATATAAGTTTATATTGTGAAGAGTAATAATAAAGTTGGCTAAAACTCATACCTTGGGACTGGTTCAACTGTTTCATGATTTGTAAAACACTTCAATTTTCCATCTTTAAGTGCAGAACTTTTGGTACACTCAACGCAACCATCATAATACCACCTAGATTGGCCAGCTTCAAATTTTTCTAACATGGCAACAATCACTCAGGTTGTCTACTGGGGAATACAAAACTAAAGGTTAAACTTGAGGAAACTGAAATATAAAGTATCCAAGTGTGAAATATTAACATACATGCTGAAGATTGGTAATTTCAGTAAGACTTAGAATTTCATTTTTCCATATAAAATTATCAATGTCTGAATATTGTGAGTTTTAGGTCATTTCAACTTGCAAGTTGGAGGAAGATAACAAAGGAATCTCCCAGTTCAGTATGGGATTTATAAAACAAAACATGAAAGTCAGACAGAAATCAAGATTAAATACTAATATAACATTTAAGTTGATTGAATATTTACAATGCAATCACCTTTCTTCTAACTGCTTAATTTCAAATATGCTAACACCGTTGATTGTCAACCTTGTGTCATTCCATGTGTTGGACACATTCAATGGAAAACCACCTATACATGTGTGCATTAGAATATGGTAGTTAATGATTATATTGGAAATTAAGCGAAGCAACTGAAAAACTATAGTGTTTTACAAATATCCAACAACAATACCTTGAGCTCCCTTAATTCTTGCATTATGCAAAATTACAACAACACTATCAACATCCTTATGACTGTTGTAGTAATTATAAAGTTATGACGCAAGCTCACCCCAAATAGTACATTGAACCAATGACTTATTGCAGTAAAAGATATGATCAAGTATATACTAAGGTCAATATGTAAACACAAAGGATTCCAAATTAAATACAAAACCCAATCATAGAAAAATAGGTGCATACCTCATATCAGTTATAGTGAAGACAAACTTGCTTTTGCTATTTTCAGCATTCATTTGGGTCTGATTGATTTTCGTAACTCCTCCAAGAATATCTAACAAAAAATGAAATTCTTTATAGAAGATTGGAAAAATGTATGGAATAAATACAAAAAACAAAAATTTTATATGACTAACTTAAAAACTAACACATTAGGTTGAAACTTTCCATCAAGTATGGATGCCAAACTAATTACGTTCAAATGATTTACAAGAATGTCGGGAAAATTTGTAATCTTTATAGAAGTTAAACCATAAAATACCAACTTGAAACTATGACTGGTTGATTTAAAGGAGAAATCATCATTGGAAACCTTGAAATTCAGCATGATGTAGGTATTTCCAAATGCAAGCGCAGACTTATGTTTCAAAATCAAATGCGGTGGTACAATTACTTGGATCATGGCGCACTAAAAAATAAAATATGTTTAAGACACATTAGACACGAAAACGATTGAAAGGCAATAATAAACTAAATATAATAAACAAGAACGATGATACATCATCATACCTTTGCATCAATCAAAACCATTTCCAAATGCTCTTTGTTAGAGGCACTTATGACAGACCACAAATCTTTACACCTCACAACAATCTTCCACAAATATTTGGAGTCATTTATATCCCTAACATATTCAATTCTTAGTTCCATTAGCTTGGTGTGTAAATTTGAAACAACAAAAAAGATTGAAAAATATTAAACAAATTTCAATGGCATCTTAGTAATATATCACGTTTTCTAAACCGTTAAAAGTGTAAACATAATAGAAACTGAACAACATTCAACAATCAACAACATTCGACTTTTCTTGGAACAACATGCATATAGGACGAGATTACAAATGTATCACCTTTTTCAATACAATTAAACGTATGGACATTCAACATTATATAACATTCAAAACATAGTAAACAGCAAAAATGGCAGCTATGAAACATGAACATGCCCTTGAACACCATTTAACCCTTACGAAATTCAACACAAATAGAATTGTATCAGTGGATTTAAAAAAAAACAAATATGGAGCACCATTCAAGAATAAAAAATAGGTTAAAATCAAAAAACAACAAAGCAACAAATTAGTGGTGAAAAGTCATGGCGATGTATTGAACTGCTCCGGTAAGATGAAATTACAATGGGTACATTGAAATGGAGATGGAAGATGGAGTTTTTTTTTAAGAATTAGATATTTTGTATGGTGTTAGAGAGCAATCAGATTTAAAGGGTTTAGTTACACACTCCAACTCTCAATGTGACTTTTCACTCCTCAATGCATTGAGGAGAGTGAAAGGTTCATCATGTCAATGTTATAATTCAATGGTTGATTTGAAATTTTGAAATTGAGTTTGTCTTTCCATCTTCTGCAGAATGATTTAACATGAAAAAAGAAAATCAAAATGTATAACAATTTGACACATAAGCAAAATTTAACAAATGGGTACATAAACTAATTTGACCTTGATTTTAAGTTAAATTAAACTTGATTAAAGAGAAGTTTAGTGGTGATTTCCAGCGTATTAGATTTTAATAGATGGATATTAGACTAATCGTTTAACGGAATAATGTTTAAATAACTAATCATAATTAATTTAATCAAATGGTTCACCCTATCACAATTTATTCTAGCACAAAACTAATCAAAATGAGATGAATCTTTTAAGTAGGTGGTGTCAGTACAACAAATAATATATTCTATAACCAAAGTTTCACTCAACAAACAACCAAGGTATAATCACCGGGCATACCATGTTTTAAACTATTCACTTAGTCGAATGAACCAACCGATAGAAAAAGTGGTTCTAAGACCACACTTCAAATCTCAGCTTTTGTAGTTTTAACTTTTATTTATTTTTCAATTGTTGGTTTTCTTATTTTTTTTTATTTCTAAATCAATCTATTCACTCGATTGGGAGAATAATCAATAAAAAAAAGTGACTCAGTGATCATGCTTAAAATCTTAGCTCTTACAGTTTTAACTTTTATTTATTTTTCAATCGGCGCCTTTCTTTTTTATTTCTAATTTAATATATTCTCTCGATTAAGGGAACCAACCGATAGAAAAAAGGGCTCAAGGATCAACCTTTTTCATTTTTATTATTTTCTCCAATTTGACGCAATTCTTTTTTATTTAAATTTATCTATTCCATCAGTTTGGGGTTTCAACCAAGAGAAAATCTCAGCTTTATATTTAAAATGGTGTTTTTCTCTCTTTCTTTTTTAATTTATCTATTCCCTTAGTTGGAAGTTCCAACCGAGAAGAAATCTCACATTTGTATTTTATATGACATTTTTCTCTTTTCTTTTTCTTTTTAATTATCTATTCTCTCAGTTAGTTATTCCAACCGAGAGGAAATCTCTTTTTCATATATTTTCCAAAACTAAAGTCTAACTTTCATTTACTTTTCAACTTTCATTTTCATCTTCATTTCTTCTACAAAACCGAACATACCTAAACTAAACACGTCCTAGGCTATTTTCGTCTTCATCTTCTCCATCAAAACACCCTAAGCGTATTTATAAATCCAGCTTTCATCATTGTATTTGAAACATCATATCTTCCAACGCACATATATATATTTAAAACATCATATCATCCAACACACTTACTTGTTTGAAACTTAAATTTCTCCCTTCAAATGCCATTAATAACATTGAAGCATTATCGAAGCTTGAAATAATAGAAAGAGAATGAAACTCAAACAAAACTTCCTCTATCATTATTGTATTAACTTCGTCAAGTCTTTGGTACGTAACCTACTTTATCCATGTGCATAATTTAGAAATGTTACTTTTTGTTGTTATGGATTATTTATTGTTTATTGACTATATTGAGGGGAGTTGTTTTTTGTTATTTATGGTTTTTGGAACTTGAAGTGAGGTTATTCTTATGAGGTTCTCTTAAGAGGTTCATAGAACTTGATAAAACATGAGCATATATTTTTCCTTTTTAGTCGTTATGCCTTTTGGTATTTTATTAGCATTGTTATATATAAAAATTGAGTGCAATTCTAGTATATGTTATATTTGATTTGGTTTTAAAACTTTTGTGAATGTGTTGATTTTGTGTTAAGTAAAACATGTCATATGTACCATGAGTCACATTAAGTGTCTTTATTAATGTTGTGTTAAGTAAAATATTTACTATTGTTGTTGTTGGTGTTGTTTAAAAAGAGATTGTTGATTCATCCAACATATATCCTATGAATAAGACTTCTCCAATTCAGAATAAAAGAACAAGAAATTCTATAGGTGCCACAATGATGTCAAAGTGACACAAGTCCACAACACAAGTATTAGGATTCTGATTGATTTTGATTTAAAAAGTGGGAGGTGTTATGGTAAACATGCTAATACATTTTAGGAGTTACAAGATATTACTTGGTCGAAACAAAGTAAGTATTTCTTAAAAGTTTGGGGTCAAGTAGATCTTGAAGTGAAAGAAAGTATATGGATTGATGTTGCGGTATTAATTTTAACTTTCATGATTTGTTTTACAAGTATATATGACCATTTATTTTTTTGTTTTTTGATATTAATATCAAATTTTTTATATAAATTAAGATGCTTTTATTGTTCGAGATGATGATAAACTGAAAAAGAAATAAATTTCATATACTGGTGAGCATTAGAGCGATTTTAAGACACAAATAACAAAGGATTACACCATAAATCCAAAGCCTATTGCAAAGCCTCCACCTAATATGTATAGTTATATTGATTAGGAAACTTAAGATAAGTTTGTTGACTCTCACAACTCTCTTGAATTCCAGGTTAGTAGTAATCTTAAGTTGGGCTAATAATCTTATGTATAATTATCTTTATCCTTTTTAAATTAATACAACTATGTAAACTAAAATCCAGTATGTTTATAAGAGGCTAAGAGTCAAATAGGAAAGGAAAAATAGGGCTAAAAATATCTATCAACATAGATTGTCTCGTATAGGATATAAATAACTATAAGAGAAAATGATTAAAGAAAAAATAAAACATAGAGGTAACAACTTGGAGATGCTTCACTAAACCTTGATCGCAGCTTATATTCACCATTACGCCATGAGAAATTTAAGAGAGCACGACCAAGAGGCGGGTTCACGTAAGAGGCTACACGTGTATTTATTGAGAAGATTGTGAGTAGATTGTTTTTTAAGAATATTAATTTAAGGTAATTCACTTTGGTAATGGACTTTTATTTTTTGTTGTAAGATTCTCCAGTTGAAAAAGTCAATGTTTGTGCCTTTGTTCCACAACAACTTTATGACATATTAGTAGAAGCGATTGGAACAAAGGATCATGGTGATCATGTTTGTGGTATTGGACGAGGCATCATCCTAAGACATTATTTTATATCATCTTCAAAGAGTGAAGAATTGCACCAGAAACAAATTGAAGAACTGGTTGATCAAAAGCTTTAATAAAGATTAGAAAATGAGCAGGTGATTATGTTGGAGAGTGTGGCCCAAAATGTGATTAAGGTAAGTATAAGTTTGGTTTTTGAACTCCCTTTTTTGTTTTTGTGATTAAAATTATGTGTTGTGTGTTGTTGATGTTTGTGTTCTTAAAATTATGTGATGCGTTTTTGTTGTTTTTATGATGTAGAGATTAACATCGATGGGTCTACTCGTCCAACAAAATACAAATATATTAGTCTTTTATGATAAAGTTATTTTGGTTTGTGCAAGCACGGAAGATAGTTATCCAGCCCCCAACCACAAGATTGAGACCTCATTTCCTTAATCAGATCCAATGCAAAGATTGTCAAGTGTCGTCAAAGATGTAGCAAATTCCATTGAAATATAATTGGAGCACGACCAAGAGCATTGTGTTGTTTTTTATTCAAAATAGGTGTATTATGGATCTTGTGTGGGGTGCTGATTGGTTTGACATTTCCATACTATAATTATGGTACACATAAGTGATAGTGCCAAAATGTAGTTATTTTGTATATATGTTTTGTGGCACTTATCGGTTCTTTTGTTGATATTCATTGAATAATTCCCCGCTTTGTTTGTAAATACATTTAGTTTGTGTACATTTGTATTTTTTATTCATTTGTGTACCGTTTGATAGATTTTACATCTTTTGTAGGTATTTATTTCATATTTGGAGCATTGAGCAATAAGGTGTCGAAGGCACGACTCTAAATGCGCATTTTCAGGAGAGAAAAATGCAATTTTGGGAAGTTCTACCCAGGCAAGCGCGCTTAGTGTAAGTTCTAGCGCACTACAAGCTATTTTGTACATCTGGAAGAGAGATGGTTTTCTGAGTTTACTAAGAGCGCAAAGCCCGCTCAGGGAGGTTTTAGGCGGTTTGATGTGTTAAATTAAGAAGTCGCGCTTAGTGCACCAGGCCCGCTTAGCGCGGTCTACTGAATTTTGTTTGATAACTTTCATTTCATTCATTTTTAGGTTATGGTTTTGGGGGTGTTTTTGTTATCCAAACTCCATCAACTCATTTTTTGGTAGATTAGCTTAGAAAACAACATTAGAGCTTGCATACGGATGATCCGAGGTGGATTTCTCACCGATCAATGCTGACTAACCGTGAGATTTGTGGTTCATTTCTCTTCTTCTTTGTGTATTCTTTATTTGTTGGATTTTTTTATATGTATTTACTTTGAACTCATGTATATTTATCGCCTGTGGCATTATATA